TATAACGAACTTGGCTAGAATTCGAACTCATCTCTCCGATTTCCCATTCCGAATCGTTCTCCATTACCTCATCCGAACGTCCATGATGATTAGAGAGTGGAGCTTATGCAAAGAAGGCGCCTAAATAAGCGGCTTCTGTGAATAAGCTTTTGGACGGCAAGTAAAACTGTACATTTTATGCAAACAAGATAGAATATTTCACCCTTTGGATATAGTTTTGTTCAAAAACGTATCTTCTAATGTTTGATTTCTCATTGAGAACAAAAAGAAAATAAAAAAAAGATAATTTTAGTAAAAACAAAATGTCTTCTATTCCCATATTATGTGCAAGTTTTTGTCGGAGAGCGCACAGAAAAAGCAATACCATCCTGTCAGTTTTTGAATGACAACATCAGACTACAGCGTCTTGGGTGGTGGGTGTACCGAAAAGAGGGCAAATCCATCAAGTCTGTCTTTATTTGTGATTTCTTTAACTCATACAGGCAGAAACAATGTCAATAGTGATAGTATTTAGTCATGCCATGTGACTGAATATGCAACAAGAGAACAATACAGGCTTTAATACTTCCGTATGCTTCTTGAAAAAATGGCAAAAAGAAATCTTGTTTATGTGCATTTCTCGACATTCTTATTCTTTCTATATGTAAATATGCCTTTGTATTATGAGTACTTATGAACACTACTTCCTCCTCTTCTTGTTTTGCTCTTTTGAATATGCCCCCTCTTATTACCTTTCCTCCTCCTCTTTATTAAAATACTGGACTCGCAGTTGGGGTATGGACAGCGGCTCAGAATGAGGAATCGCAGACCCGACTTGGAATTTCAGTAGGGTTCGTTATATTCAGCTACGCGAAAATAGTATTAGAAAAGGTATAAATCTATGTCCATCTCCCAACTATGGATTAAATATTAGGACTTGTATCTGGAAAAATCATTGTTATTCTCAAAACATTGTTAATATAATATTCACTCGCTAAAACAAAAAAAAAAAAAATCAAACAGTCCCCAAATATGTTTCGGATTTAAATAACGCACAAACATTTGATAAGCCTTAAAAAATAAATAAATTCTCGAATAAGCAGCCCATCGACGGAGTTATATTTTACTCAGAACACCCTCCTTCTACAAAAGAATTCTGAGAATATCTTAAAATCTTGGTAAGATCATGTGAGAAACGAGTAACTTTTAAGGATAGATAAGCCTTTAAAAACCAATCAATCTGACAATCCATATCAATCTGAATCCATTTTTTTTTATTTGTAGGTACGATCAGCATCAACCAGTTGATAACCAAATTTTTAATGTTTTGCGATTAAAAAACCGTTAATCGTTCTTCCAATACCACTGCCACATATGCCAATGAATAAGCAAATGAATTCTGGGAAATTCATTTTCCGTTCGAAGCCATATTGTCTACTTACGTTAATTTGTTATATTGCACCCAACAACGAATAATATTACTGTGGATACGACAAGTAATAATATCTACAGTAATATTGCGGTTACTTCGATGTCATGTTCTATTGTCTAAGATCTCAAATTATTTTCTTCCTTTGTGTAGACTTGCATGTTCTCGTACACGCCAAAATGGCTCCAAGATTTATACGTTTATCTTATTTATTGTTTGCAATATTGAAAGGTTAATAACGTTCTCTGCAATGTAGTTGCTTTCACTTTGCATTTACTTATAGTCGACGCCTTATTATTAATGTTATCTCACATGAGACGGACAGAGAATTGGGAATATAAGCAAATGAGATATTCTGGCGAAACTTGAGGTGAAGAGTGGAACTAGCTCCAGCTGTAAATTTAAATCCGGTAAGAAAATGCACATAAAGAATATATGAAAAAAAAAGGTAAAATGTGTAAAATTTATATGAAAAAAATGTTAAAAAAAAACAAAAAAAAGCAAGATACAAAAGCCAAATATTTTATTAATAGAATGACAGCAGGTAACCTTGACATATTTGGAAAGAATATTAGAATCATCCATTATTTATACTGTAGCAAACCACCTGCATACGGACAGAAAAATGAATTCAATAAATATACAATAATAGAAAGCCCTGCAAGACAAAGACATATCTTCTTAGCGGACTTGTTCAACTGATCCTGAGTGAATTAGAAATCCTATTCCTTATTGGCAGTACAATATTATAGATATGTATATGACACAGTGATGATAGCAGGCACCTCTTAATTGATGTCTTTCTCAGGTCCACCCTAATCCGAGGTGGTAGTACCTTTTAGGGTCTCAGCTATAGGCAAATAGCTTCCAAACATAAAAAACACTCTAAGCAAAAAATGCATTTTTATAGTATAAATATCAACAATACATTTTTATATAAAAAATTACCAATACACATTTATAGTAAAATGGCAAACAATTCATAGTCGTACATCTGTGTTCCAAAAATATTTAGTTGAAGTCATAAAATTATGCTCAATATATTCATATTTCGTCATTAAATAACCCATAGAGATGTTGATATGCCGCTGAACAATCAACTAAATAGCCAACCAACATGAAAAAACTCTTTCATGATATCAATCCATATAATATCCCACAATTTCTTAAAGAATTCCAACATATAAGTTCAACAAAACTACAACCTAGAAACACACATATCCCCGCCTCTAGTAATTATGTCCACGCAAATAAGTCTATACCCAAAAGCTGAGTACCATCTACCATGTACTCAATTGTGAATGCAGAATAACATATATCATATTTTTATGTCAAAACTTGCAACAAATTTAAATTTCGGTATTAAATGGCACATACGGAGTTGGTATGCTGTTAAACAAACAAATCAAATCGAATCGAATTTGCACAAAATGGCAAAATCAAAGCAGCTAAGAATTTATTCAGAGAAATCTATTTTTAAAGACACATTGCCATGAAGTTGATGATTTTCAGGCATGGAGTGCAATATTCATTACAAAGACAATTAGAATTTGATGTATATTTTGAAAGATAAAGAGCCTGGAGCAATAAAAGTAACAACTGCTGCAGAAGATAAACACTTGATTATTGGGAGCAAAAGAAATAGAAAGAAAACTGCTCAAGAGTTAAATTTAATTTCTCTCTGTACCAACAAGTGTCGCTCTCAATTGGGAAAAATTGTTTTAGATCAGCAGGGCTCACGTAGTGTATACCCATCAAGAAACGCCTGTTAAGGAAGATGACTAACCAGAAATGACTATTATGGGTAAAAAGGTATGGAACTGGAGATTGAAAAGTAGTAACATACAAAGAAGTTGAACCTTTTGGTGTTAGCAGAAGTATTTTAAAAGTAAAGCAGGAGAAAAGGAATGACGCATATGTGGTTCCCACAGTTAAGCATGGTGTTGGGTCTTTTATGTTGTGGCAGTGTTTTTGGCAGGGGAAGGCTGGATATTTGATTCCGGTCAATGTAATCTAGAATAAACAAAAATATAATTTGATTTTGAAAATAAATCTATAACATCTGCTTTATGTATAATTGGAAAGGATTCTACAAGGCAAAGCACTCTTCTAAATTATGTCAAAATTACTTAATTAAATTTTGGAAATTACGACTTGGCCGCCTCAATTAACTGACTTCTTTCCCATTATATTTGGATAGGATTTCGAAAAGAATACCCAAAGAGTGAGCGTGAACTTTTCAGTGCTTAAAGAATGCTTAGGAAAGTATAGCATCTCCTTTTTTTAAACTGTTGGAAAGAAAGCCATTTTGTGCATGTGCGTTGTTTGTTTTTGATTTTACTGGCTGCACAGTAGTGTCAGTTGGGCACCGTCTATGAGAAAATGAGCACAATGATGCAATTCACTCTGACAGAAATTTGGAAATGACATGCTGTAGTGTTTGGCATTCGCCCCGGAAGCTCCAATACGAAGATTTCAGTGTGTTATTGGGTGTCAATCTGAGGAGAATCCCGATAATTTCGAAAGAGTTGGATGAGAGATCACGATGGTACGGCACCTCAGAAAATTCACTCTGATTGTTCTGATAAGAAAAGAACTCCCGAATTTTTTCTTGGGGACCTGAGACTCAAAACGGATGCCTACATCAAGTGCCTTGAGAAGGTGGTACTGACCTGGGTTATGGCACAGAAGCAGAAAAACCCAGTCATGGCTGTCAGACAATATCAGCGTCCACATCACTCGTTACATCTGGCCACCATTTTTAACAAGGTCACCGTCCAGAAGTGTTGCAGGATATTTCGAATTAGCCTGGAGGCCGTGGTTGAACCCAGTGGTGATTTTATTGTAGAAATGTAATCTTTTGTATTTCAATGTTAAAATGAAATGTCACTGTTATTTTCATTTTTGCCTCATTTAGATGACAGTTTATAAATTGCACCTTGTACGCGAAAGTTTCTGAATGACACATGGCATAATGGATAAAAACGTTGGTTAGATCCAGTGACAAAACCCAAAGATTGTGAGTTCAATACCCGGTTAAGGCAGTGGAGAACTTGGAGAGGGGAATTAACAGGAGATAACTAATAACTGACATCCGTTAAACATGGCACGTGCAACTGAAACAGTCTACCACAATGACCGAAATAAAGGGGTCAGTTCGACATTCCAGCCACCTTAAGAAGGTCGGAGCGTACAACGGCCGAAACATTGTAATAAATATGGCGACAAAGATGAGGACAATTGTCCAAATAATGTAAATAGAGTTTCTGAAGCATTTTATTTTCTTAGAAAAAAATACAAAACATCTCATTTAAAGGTGTTTTAAAAAAAACAAAAAAAACCTGCGATTATCCCATGACTCTTTGTCTGTAGTGTAAGTCCGTACTTTGAATATTGCTGCTATATCTGGTTCGATCATCCTGCTATATATTTAGAAATTTTTAATAAAATCCTTAGAAAAATTTGCAATGTTATTAGTCTTGACCTGGCATATCAGCATCAGTATGTTTCCCACTGGCGTAACATTGCTTTCCTGTGTTTATTTGTTTATGTTTGTTTTTTTAAATACCTTCGTGGTAAGTGTTCTGATGAAATTACTTCTATTCTACTTAGATTTTGTGAATTTCAACGCGATACTAGATTAGTGGCAAATCTAATGATTGATGTCTGATCATTTAACTGTGGAAATGGCTAGATGTAACTATGTTCTAGGCTAACAGTTTCTTCTCTTGCGCTCCTCGCTTTTGAAACTTTCTTTCGACGTCTTTCTTTCAAGTCAACTTATATGTTCCAAATTTTAAACGCAAGGACGATGGACGAAATAAAGAGTTCGGTTCGAAATTCCAATCACCTAAAGAAGGCTGGGGCGTACAACGGTCAAAACGTTGTGAATATGGCAATGGAGATGAGGATAACAGTTCGAATAATGTAAATAATGTCATTCTTCAATAAGAATTTAAATTCAATTTAAAATAATTAAATTTCAAAATTTCAAAAGCGTCTATTTGATTTTTACATTTATCTAGTGAAACATACACAGAATATAGAAAATAATGTTGTTGGCACTGTGATGGTTATAGTAATATTGGCTGTTCTTTTATATGTTATTATTGATCGAACCACCAGTGCCAATTGAGAGATACTGTTCTTCATTCCCTGGCCATTGAGCTGGGATCAAAGTTTAATATCTACACACCTAATCGCTTATGGTAACTTTGATGTTGGATTTTTTTATATAGAAACAATGGACATTCTCTGACGAATGGCTAGTGCAAATGTCGGCTAAAATTTATAAATCCTTCAATTAATTATGTTTCCCTAGAAATAGTTTTCTTTTCTCAGGTTCAGTAATTTTTTATCGATCTGTCCAGTATTAATGGAGACGAGGGCAATTTTCTTGACCTTTTGTTTGAAATAATGTGGAACGTCAACATTATGTCGATATTATTCTTCGACTTATGTGATATTCATTTTAATTGTTGCTGCTATTGAAAATCATTAAGTGATGAGTTGTTGTTTTTTTTATTTGATACAGCTCTTTATTTTTGATTGTGTAGCGCCAGTCCACATAAAAGAAGAATAAAAAAAAGTCCTAGACAAGACCCACTGGCTTCATTTGTTCATGATCATTTTTAATCAGTATCTCTCTATATTTCTGAGATGAGGTATTATGTACACTATTTACATTGTTCGGACTATCGACCTCATCTTTGTTGCCATATTTATCACGACGTTTCGGACGTTGTACGCTCCGGCCTTCTTCAGGTGGTTGGAATGTCGAACTGAACCCTACATTTCGCTCGCTGGGGTAGACTGTTCTACCCCAACTACCTGAAGAAGGTCGTTTTTAATCACTCCTCTAGGAAAGCGATTGTATACAGGTCACAGTTTAGATATTTCTGAACCGTACAGCAAGTTACATTGCAAACACAAGATGAAAGTCCCCATTATAGATCGTAGCAAAAGCCAAGTCATTGTCATACCAAGATACTTGAAGTAAATAGAACAGGTAACAGTTTAATGGCCCTACCAAACTAAGCATTAGAAGCAAAACGGTCTTACATCCATAATGAGCATTAAGACATGCCAACAAAAGTAAGCGCACATTTCTATAACGTTCAATTTTACTGAGAATTATAGTCGGGTGTATGTATTATTAACACCACTGCCAAACACGTGATAACTTTAGTGATTTTATTGTGACATTGACTAAGAGTTACCTTGTGTCAACTAAGAGTTACTGCGTGCCTAGCATTTTCTGATACACGTTCATTTGCGAGTGCCAGGAATAATTAATTCACAGTGGCACTTTTAGTATGAAAACAATCTTAAAAGTACAGTTGAATCTCTAAATCAACTCATAAGATGTTTGTATTGCCTAAGTTGGCAATTATAAAGTTGGCGTTTGAAGTCTGATTACGTAATTG